GTGAGTGCAATTATTTATCTAATTATTTTGACCAAGAAAGACTTACGATAAGTTAACCTCATATTATTTATTTAAAATATGGTTTCTATTTTAATTATGAATTACTTCCATAATTTTTATACAAAAGTTTTATGAATGGTTTAGGGTATGAATTGCCCATGTTATATTTTTACGATGATGAAAGAAAAATGATTTAGATTTTGATATGTTGATTATTAAGTGATTATGATATTATCTAAAAGCTCATTGTATGTTGCATTGAGAGTCGTAGGTACACTTGGCATACTATTAAGTTGAGTAAAGTAGAGTACATTTGTGTACATTATGAATGGCACCGTTGGTGCATATGATAAGATTGCACCTGGAGTGAATCCTATAATGAAGATGATGATTAGCATCGTTGGTGCTCAGTGCGCACATTATGTTCGACTCACGTACCTTGTATTCTCTTAAATGCACATTGAGCTATGAAAATGAAATATGAACGTTATGAAATTTGTCTGAATGGAAAGAAATATGAAATGATTATTGTATTTGATAATGTTCATCATGATTTTGATAAAATCATGAGATGATAATGATTTTCAGGTTTCTGATGAAAAAATTGGCTTGAATAGTCGGTTTGAAAGTTTAAAGAATTTATTTAAGCTATTTTTAAATGTTTCAAAGTATTTATGTTTTTTTTTAATTTTTTTTATTTCACCTTTAGTTTTTACTGTCTCATTAAGTTTTATTTGGTCGTGATGATTTTCATGCATAAGTTTGGATAAATAATAGGACGTGAAATGAGGAGCCCGAGCATCTTTTTGGAGATAAGCCTTATTATTAGTATCAGTAAGATATCTCTGATGTTCCTTTTGACTTTTAGTGGCATGTATAATTATCTCAGTTAGTTTGCTTTAACGAATTTATTTTAAATGATCTATAATAGTAAACTAGGACTATCTTATTTTGGCTAGATTTAGTTATATTCATATTTATGAATGAATAGTATATATATATATATATATTATGTTTTAAATGGTTTTTCAAATTAAGTAGTGTTTAGACAGTTTTATATAAGTTATAAAACAACATGAAACTGCTCAATTGCTGCCCAAAATCGGATTCATTTTGGATGATAGATTATTAATTACAAGGTTAGCTAAATAACTTTAAAGTTGATAAAGGAATGTTTTATAATTAAACAAAATTTTAGGAAATTCTACATAAAGAATGTTTGTAATGTTAATGTAACATCTATAGCTCATATTTCAAGCCGTATACGTGTTATGAGTATTACAATTTGTATCTCCGTTTCATTTTTTATTAATATGATTAAATACAAAGCATCGCATGTTCGATGATAATTTTCAACCATTTGGCATTAAATATTCACGTCTTAGCATTTCTTGCGCTCGAACTCGGAATCTCAAGAAATAACAATAATTTTTTACCATTGAGGTTACTTGATCCGTGTCCTATTTTATTTTTATATGAAATTACAAGAGGAAAGAAATAATAGGTTACCCAAATATTATATGTCTCTCTGCTTTATTCTCCCATTTACATATTAGAGTATTAAGGCCATCGGCTATTACACCATCAAGCAGTGTTTCTTTAAGCAGGACTACGAACGACGGTGACAAGGGCATTTACGGTGATTTGCGGTGTTGTTGAATTTTTGAGGGTATTTTTGAGAAAAGAATAATATTTCTAAATTATTTCTTAATTAAATTTTAAAAAAAAATATATATATAAACATGGCACATGTTAGATAACGGTCTTTTTCAATTGTTGTTACGACGTGGGCACCTAAAAGTATAATGGAGAAAACGTTAGACACTTAAAAGTATAACAAAGAAAATATTAGACACTTGTTTTTAACGAAAACTTCTTTACACACTTAAAATTAATTTAGGATATTCTTTGAACACTTTTTTTGATATTAAACATTTTATTTGTCTTAAAGTTAACTTTTTCAATGGTGTATAACACATCCTTATATGAGATTAAAGATATTTTCAAAATATTTCAAGGTATTTAGATTCAAAATGCTATGTAAGTCCGCTCAGTACTAGAGTTTTATACAAGCTCGTGTCATATTGACTCAACTTTGAGTTTCATTTCCTTTATTCAACAGTTTTCAATAATTGGTTAAAGAGTAACGGGTTTTTTTGCCCAACCAATAAGGGAGCCCCAAAAAAATTATAAAATAGGTCATATATATATTTTTATTTTAGAATATACAATATTTTTTTAAAGTGCATGAAACTCGTCACATCGAGATGACGAATTTTAATAAAAAAAAATATTTTTATTCAATTTTTTTTATCTCGATGTGATAAATTTTAATAAAACAATTATATTTTATTAGAACTCGCCATCTCGAGGTGATGAATTTGAATAAAAAATATTTTTTATTAGGTCTTGTTACCTCGATATGGCGTATTTCATGAACAATGTAAAAAATACAATAGATTTCAAAATAAAAATTTAGGTGCTCTAATGGGTTAAATAAAAAATCTGGAATACCTTAATGGGCCAAAAACCAAGAGTTACTCCATTGGTCTTTGCTCTCTAAAAGGTCTAATGAGTTTGAAATTGTTAATGGACCAACTCAACTGGGCTCATTATTTAGACTTACATAATAAAAACAATTTTATTATTCCATCCACTGATAATAAAATTTAAAAAACTTTCACAAACATAATTAAATGATTTTTATATATTCTTTTAATTATTTTTTTTAGTATTGAAGTGACTACAATATAATATCTATTTAGAATCTTTTTTTTTTAATTATTAATAACATTTAGGGAGAATGTCACTCTCTTTTATAACAGAATTCGTTCAAATTATTTTATGTTGAAATTTTTATTTGTTCATGTATAAAGCATTTCAAAGTAAAAACTTTACAATCCCAGAAACCCTTTTAGGGTTAATCAATTACAAAGATTACAAAATTATAAGTGAAGAAAGAAGGATGAAAGATGATGATTATCGCCATCTCCAAATACAATAACGAAAGTTGGACCAAAAACAATGTTTCTTTATTGGTCTAAATGATGTATGTAGATCTAGCATGCTGCCTCCCCATTATATCTCACCATGGACATGCTTCTGCCATTCACAAGCTTTATTTCTATTAATTTTGCTGCCCTTCTTTTTTCATGTTTTGTTGTTAGTATTAGAACTCCCGGGACAATTTTTTTTGGTACTGTGTTTCTTTCATTTTATAGATTCTAAATATGCTCACTCTTATAGAAACACAAAAAATCATGCTTAAATTTAATCGAAATAGACTAAGGAGATGACTTGTATCATTATTGTAGATTTTTTTTTATTATAATTTTTGAAGTTTTGGTTGCAGTTGTATCATTTTTCTTATTGTTGTTGTATCTTCTCTGGATTTCTTCCGTAAACTGCACATTCTTTAGTCAAGGAGAAATTCCTGTGTTGATCAAAACTTCCGAAGATCAATTTCCTCCGATCAACCACAATTATTTGTTATAATTATTGGCAAACTTACGTGATTTGTGAGGTGATCATATCCATTAGCCCTGCAAAACTACGAGTAGTCATCGTAACCTTAGGCGTGATATTAGGACCATTATGATATCATAACCACAATGAATAATACGTAGTCATCGTAACCTGCGACAGATCATAACCTTAGGCAAAGCTGTGGAAGTGTACAATAACAACATTGATTTCTTCCAAGACTACATTTCATCGGATGTTGTTCCATGTAGGAGACATCCACAATCGTTTCAGTAGGTGTGTGCGCGTATTGTCTCAAGGATCGTTTGATTAACTTGGTTTGCTCAGACTGTGGCGAGCAGCGTCGATCTTCTTGCTCGTGCTCCGAAATCGCCACCAACCCTCGAACTTGATGCACTGGTAGTGAAGTAGGCAGTGTTGGTCGGGTCTCGTTCTGATAGAGAATGAAAACAAGGAACAACAGGTTTCGAACCCCAAGGCTAAAAGCAGTAGTAGTGGGAATAATGCAAGTCAGAAGATGTTTTCTTGCTCAAGAGAAGCAACAGTAACTGTGTTGAGATCAAAAAAATGGATTCTGGAGAATTGGGAGGTTTTTCAAGAAGAAGAGAGACAAAGAAACTAACCGTGGGAAGAGTGTTTGTGGAGTTGATGAGAAAAGTGATTTGTGGGTGGTTGATTACATGGGGGTGTCAAGGTCAAGGTCTCTTTGCAGTTTCAGAGGTGGTGGGTTCTTGGGATCAGAAGATGGAAGTGACTTGATGAACTTCTCGGGTGCAAGGAGCTCCATTTCGACCGCTCGGAGTTCCCGTGTCAATGGCGGTTTGGTCTATGATCCTGAGAGGAAAAGTGGATTTAGTGAAGCAGAACCAAGGAGAAGTGGTTTTGATAGTGAAAGAAGAGAGTATTTTTATAGTCTGATATTGCAGACATTAAAGCCGTTAGAAAAAGTGGCCTCGGCGGTGGCGGAGGTGTAATGGATGTCGATGGTGGTTTTAGTAGTGCAAACAGGCGGGTGTTCTCTTTGAAAGAGATCTATTTTAATGGTGGGGATGATTCAGGCTTCATTGACTTGAAATTTGATTTTCAAGCAGAATCTAAAGGTGATATTCCGAGTATGAAGGGTATTTTGTCTGGTTTTGGCAGCATGAGAGGTGGTGGTGAATTCATGCCATATAAATCCAGTATTTCCATTGAAAATGCACTGCAAATTCCTGGAAATGGATCCTTAAGCAATGGATGTTCATATCAGATGACAATGGATGAAAGGCGGATAAAAAAGAACAAAAGAATTTTCAAGGGATGACGGTGGATTTTCAAAGCTCCATCAAAATTGGACCAATTCAGGGAAGAAAAATGAAACATTGAAGCCCTTTCAAATTCATTCTTATGTTTTTCCTTTGTTCATTTTCATATGTAATTTTCTTCACATACTTTCCCATTTCTCAGCCTTTAGTTCAAACCTTCCATGTTGATCAAATCTCCATACATGATTTTTCAAAAATGGATGATTAAAGAACTGAAAAAGGAACCAAAAATATTTTGTATTTATGACGGGATTTATGGAACTGTAACTTACAAATTGGCCTTCAAGCCTTAAAGATTGGGTGGATGGGTGGTGGCACCCGGCAGCCGTTCCTTGTAGGGCTGCTATAGTGGCACTTTATTGTAAAGGTTACCCCCATTATCAAAGGTGTTTCACTATCTCTAGTCTCATATAATGTTTTATATACTTATTAGACTACAGGAAAAAAAGGATTTAGTATTTCAGATTGATCACCATGTATGCTCATCATCATTGCTTTACCATCCTCCTGAGTTAGAAAGAAAGCAGGATGTTCGCATGCATTAGAAACTAGCACTCCACAAAGCATTCTCCCCTTCTCCACACCGCCGATGAACCTCTTTCATCCGATCGGCGGACTTGCAAATTCCGCTGCAGCTCCAATCAAAGGAAGCAACACATGCATTGCCAGCTTGAGCCTTCCACTCGCAATCTGCATTCAGGGTCCATTTGTTAGACCGACAAGTAACTATGGTTTCGTGTTTCATTTTCCATCGTCTTCTCCTATGAAAAAAATCGAAATTCGAAAAGATTTAGGAGAATATAAGATATTTACCAGGTGGCGTGCCACAACATAATCTCCGATCATCAATATGCTTAACATCAAGTCCAATAAACCATGAACCGAGTGAAACATCCTCATTAGCATACTTGTGTAAAACATGCCTGGCGTAATCATGCATGTAATATAATCATCATTAGCACAATAAACAATGGAAATACTCGAGAGGCAGGCCTGCATATTCATACAGAAGCTTCATTTTAAACAAGGATCCTAGATCTTACTGATTTATAGATATATACGAGGCCAAATCATTCGAAATCGCATACAATTGTCCAGTAGCATGCCGGAAATATTTATTTCCCGACTCACCAAATTTCCAGTGTTCAGGTTCATGGTATCTCACTCCCCTGTTCCATAACATAACAATTAAGAAACCAGTATGCTTTCTCAAGAAAAAAAACAACACCACATCGATAAATTCGGCTCACTTTTGAGAGAGGACGGGGCCAGATTTCATGCACCCTATGTATACACGTCGTTTCTTTCGATGTCTAACTAGTGTTTCACCGAGTGTCGCTGCATAAATTTAACAGGAAATGAGGACTTAAAGAGCAAAGAAGTAATAAAATTTAAGCAAACACTTGATTACTGTTAACTGCAATAAGTATCATCATTCATACTGAAAACATATAAGCATTGATCTTCAAGCACAAAGGTTTTATGTAACTAATCCTTGTAACGACAACTAATCCTTTATGTAAACGATTATTATAACGACAACTAATCCTTTTGCTGTCTGATTGCAAACGTCACTTTTAGTAGACAAATCTCAAAACTTACCTATATTTACATGGACATCATCATCAACTTTGACATAAAAATCAGCATCCCATAGAGCGGCAGCAGTGGCAAAGTACATCTTAGTTTTTGCAGACAACTCGAGATACCCTTCGACATGGTCCTTCTGACATGTAAATCATGTTATTTGGTTTCCTTATTTAATCTTTCCACAAAGTAAATTGTTATAGAGTGTTCTTAAAGAGCACAGTTAAGAGCAGATTAGCCTATATACAACAGAACATTAATGACCAAAACAGCCTACCAGTCTCAAGAAGTCTCCATGCTTCTGATTCTCAGCTTCGATTGCTCGGTCCAAAATACCACCCGTCGTGGCACTGGAAAATAAGAAAAAATGATTATCTAAAAGCATACAAGAATCTATACAAGTAAAATTTTTATGCTTATAGCAGAATTCTTTAGGATCTGTGGAAGTGAAATCCACCTACTATATGGTTTCGATACATATACGGAGAAATACATGTCAAAGTTCAGCAACAAAGAAAGTGAATTAAACCCTCACCTATGACCAATAACAAAGCGAACAATAATGCCCTTTTCATCCTCCAATTTCTTCTGCTTTTCACCTATTTTCCATTAGTTTTAGGAACAAAAACCACAACAGATTTAACTTGGCAATTCCAATGGCATAACTAGGGAAAGGAACTAATGAGTGTTAAGGGAATAAAGGAAGAGAAGGGTACAAAAAGGCCAATCCAACCTTGTGGTATCCATGTAGCACGAATCGAGTCTCTTCTTTTCCGGCTGCTAAAAGCGGTATTAATTCCTATAACCATCAGATACCTTCTTTTCCTAGATGATTCGGCTCTATTAACATCCATGGATAACGGTGAACCACCAAGTAAGGACTCTTGTGATGCCCTTGCAGCTGCTAATTCCATCTCTAAGCTCGAAATAGTCTTATCCAATGTGCTACGTCAGAAACATGATGAGTTTGTTGATCAGCTACTTTAGAATCAAATCAAATCAACCCAAGGCAGAAGCAATACTTACTGTATAGCATGGTGAGTCTTAAAAACCTCCCCAATGATGTCCTTGGATACATGCTTTTCTTCTTGCTGATACAAAAGAAACCAATCAACCACAAGCCGCACAATTTTGGATGCAAGGTTCAACATGATGCAATTACGGTACTCACCGCTTTTAGGGTACAACCCTCTGAAATTAGTTTAAGGTTTTCAGCTTCCACTGCAGTTGCCCTCATGATACCTTTAGATTGAGGAACAGTCCCCACCCTGTTACAGATTGTACACATTAACAAGCCATCATTTAAGCCTCAATAGGATCAACAATCATGCCACCTTTATAACCAAAATGAACCCATATTTTTAACTATAACACAAATATTGAACTGTCAAACAAAATCTATAGATGTGCCAAGAGAGGGTCAAATTTTTTAATGAAGTCAAAGGTCCCATGTTGGAATTGTTTAGTTCTTCATATCAATGATCTTCAAAGTTGTAACTTCCATTGTTTTTGAGGGTGGGGGTGGGGGAACATAAATGCCAAACAATTAGGTATAAGCATTAAAAACACTTGAGGGTGTTTATATGCCTTAAAAATCTCATTCAAAGAGTTCAAATTACAACTGCTAGACATTATTAAAGCAATGTTAAAATTATTCACAGCACGTGTCAGAGTTCTTGCCAGGGATATGGTTAAAAATGACATGAATGGTATAATTATGGAAGCAGATTACATTAGTCATTGAATAATAAGACAGCAAGTTTTTCCCCCTTCAAAATTTATATAAAAATGGCAACCCTAAAAGGATGAACTTTTGCATCAGCATAATATTGGATTGCAATTGAAACCCCTTCACCAAAAACAAGAAAAAATTGAATACAAACACAAGCTTGAATACAACTGATAACAACAACAATCAAAATAACCCATCTTTAGAAAATAAGCAAACTCTATTATCAAAACAAATTTCACCGTTGAAATAAAGAAAATTTTAACTAAGCAAAGATTTTAAGGAAAGGTTAAAAAGAATCAAAAATTTTTGTATTGAAGAAATGAAAAGCCAAAAGCTTTGAACTTCGAGAATTCAATGAAAAAGGAAACACCAAACAAGAAGGATAATGGCAAAATGGATACCTATTGGTGAAGAGCATTCCAGCACAGAAGCAACCCAAGCAAAGAAGAAAACTCCATTTCTTGGATATAAAACTTGCAGAAGACTGATCTCCTTTGCTTTTAAAAGGCATATTTTGAAAACCTTCAATCTAAATCCCCGCGTACTTTTCAAAAGAGAGAACAAAGCTCCCAGTAGTAGAAAATGACTCCCAAGAGCCTCAAATTTGAGAGGACAAAGCTCAGTTTTTCAACTTGAAAGTTTGTTCCTTTCTTCCTTTACTTCTTTCTGTATATATATTTTTTATTGGTTTGCTTGGGGGGGTTCTCTCTATAGATTCTCTAAAATTCACAACTCTGCAGGTAAGGGGCGTTGAATGAATACAAGTGAGAACTTGGATACACGTGAGAAGACGGAGACGTGGCAGACAGCAAATGGATGAAGAGTTTCACTAGATCTTATGTGTTGTGTAGTAATCATGCGAGGAACGCCATTTTAGGTCACGTGGATGCTGCAAAGGAAAGACATATCCCACCTCACGAGGAAGCCTGAACAAAGGAGAAAGGGAACATATACCTTCCAGTAGAACGGAGAGTCCGTCAAAGATGTGAGAAAAAGTGGATTCTCCAAAGGCAGTCTCGTCATAAAATCCACCGTTTTAGTATTGAGAGTCTATTTTAGAACGTTCACGGTAGATTGATTAACGATTTTCAACGAAATAATCTTTTTATCTTAAAAAATATTAAAGAAAATAAAATTCAAAGAAATTATTTAATGAAATATTAAAATATTTTCTTTATCATTATATCAAATTAAAGTGTAAAAAGTATTTTCTATTTATTCATTAATTAAGAATGCAGTTATCTATATTAATTAAGTAGTTAGGACAATTAATATTTATCCATATGATCAAATACATGTGCGTTCCTAATTATTGGGACGTTGGGCTCTTTCAGATTGAGATAGCTTTGTTGCTATATTGCTATGTACTTTGTCGAAAACGATGGATTTCGAATCTCCCTAATCATGGAAATAAATAAATAAATTTTCAGTAAATAAAATAAAAATATTTGTTGGCCGCTAATCGATAAATTTTAGGCTAAAATATATAAATATCACTTAATAATGTTTAAATGATCCTTTATGCCATCAGAATTTCAAAAATTATAAAATTATCATTAAAATTATTATTAATATACTAAATTGAGGATCAAATTTTAATGAAGATTATTTTATAACTGTTTAAAAAATTTAATAATTATTTTATTTTAATTTCATAATTTTAATCTTTCTTAAATATATATAGTATATTTCATAATTATTAAGTACATTTCTTTGCAGCCCACACAATCCTAACACAGCACACCGAACTTTCTTAGAGAAAGAACATCCAAAAAAAGATATAGTTTCGGGATTCAGTCCCCCTTCCACAGAGCACACAGCCAGGATCCACCTACAACCCAAAACCAATTATCCTATCCTTGGAAGAGAGCCTGATTAAAATGGTCATCTAAGCAATCAGTGAATGTCTGGGAATGTGGAAGGTGTGTCAAACCAGTCTCTGCCAGTGCATCGACCGGATAGCATCCCAAACTTCTCTCGAAGTTAACCTAGGATCCATAATCCAATTTACGAAAAACAGTGGATCTCAACTTGAGCAACTTCCTCCATAAGTGACTATAGATGGAACGAACTTGTATCTTCCTAAAATCCATTCCCTACAACACATGCCTAATCTCAAGCAACCCAGGTGGATCCCTCCACCTACAAAACATCTTTGATGAGTAAGGTTAACGTTATTCCAGGTCCTCAAATCCTTTAGGCCCAGCCTCCTTCAAACTTAGGACGGCAAATGACCTTCCATCCAACACGAGCTCTCGTTGCTGTAATATCACCATTCTTCCAAAAGAACCTGAAGCATAATTGCTCAATGCGAAGAAGAACAGTTTTGGTATGACCATTGACCAACTGCCTGCTTCAATAATTTTGGATACTAAAAATGACAGATTGGATAAGTTGAACCTTTCCAAAGATTCCTAGCAGTCCAATTCTGAAGCTTAGCCTCCACCCTGTCCAACAATGGCTTGCAATCAGCAACCGTTAGCTTCCTAGTAACCAGGAAAATCAAGAGAGATTTGGTCACAACACAAAGAGAAAAAAATAAATAAAAGAGATAAAAGAAGACAACATCAAAATTAGTTTGTAACATTTTTCAAATGACGACTTTAATCCTTTTTAGAACATTTTAATTCAAATGTTTTAATTTTTGATCAAAATGGACCATATTGGATGGAAACTATTAATTGACTAATGATTTTCATCCAACATGAAATATTTTGATCAAAAATTAAAATATTAAAAATATATTCTAAAATGTAAAGATTAAAGTGATTATTTAGATACTATTAGGAACTCATTTTGATATAACGACATAAAAGAAAGAATAATTGATATATAGTAGTACTAGTCGTCGTCAATAGTGGTAAGAGAACAAAATAAAATTAAAGAGTAAGATATTACTCTAAATCCATCAGCTGGTGAAAAAAAACCCGAAACCCATGATATGATAGCACTGTAGATATAAAAATGGACCATACTAGTCTCAACCATACCCAATATTTGTATAATCTCTTACAAGTTCATAATGGACCCTTTTAAAGCAACTTAGCGGTTCACAATTAAGATCAAAGGGTACGGTGTGAAGTTGAAAGTGATTTAATTGAATTAAAATACATATACTAAGATCAAAACCTTATATATATATATATATATATTATTGAAAAAACAATAGAAACAATCATCTTCTTCTCCATGCAGAATGATGAAGCTTTCAATCTAGATTCAAAATTTTCATTGAAAATGTTAAGGTAGACCCATGGGAAAAACCATTATGTAAGATGATGGTTCCACATAGTGGATCTCCATGAACAGCAATGCATTGGCATTGCCCATCCCGTTTATGATTAGGATTAGGATCATGAATTTTTAGAAAAGTATGAACAATGATTTTTGAAAAATCATTTCAATTCTCAGACTGTGCAGCTGCTATAATTCTGAAAATTTGTTTAAAACAAATTGATAAAAGAATTTTTAGAAAAGTATAAAAAATGATTTTTGAAAAATCATGCCACAATATTTTCAAATATTTTTCTAAAATTATTGAGACTCTAATGCCATTCTGAAATATTACTACCTTTCTGTAATGATAGTTTAGTACTTAATATATAGCCGTGAGTCTGATTTGGATGTCTGCTATCGTTTTGACACCTTAGTTGGCTATTTCGGGTATAAGGTCTGAACTCTTGCAATTAAGTCAAATAGCGATCATTATTCACTGTTAGGAGGAGTCAACATATGTTTGAACTTAAACGGTTGAGTCAACTCCTAAAGTAGAAAAAGTAGATATATATGTTCTTGATGTACTTTTAATACTCTCTCGTCCTCCTCGGCTAAACTGCATTACTAATTCTGAATTTATTCTCAATTTTCTCCTGAAATTAAGATGTACTAATATATGATTTTCAGCATTATGTTCAATTTTAAATGGGAAACTCTGACCGAAATCTCTGGACTCTTTATAAAATCTTTCCCGAGAAGTAACTTGTAGGAATTTTATATACCTTATAAGTAAATGTTCTTCCAAGTTCATATCGATTGTGAGGTTTGATAAAATTACAGTTCTGTGCGATAATATAAAAATATAAATGGATTCATGTAATAACGTTAACCTGTTCGAGTTCTTATTATGTCACATCGTGGTTTCCCATAAAAAAAGATTTTTGACCAAAATTATATTGAAAACGCATGAGCTATCAAAGATTTGTGTAAAGTTTTGCATTTCATAATGGAATATTATTTTGGTATGAATTATTTTGAATTCTTTCAAATTCTCTGTAGATTAATTTCAGTATCTACTAATAACTTCCTCCTTCGGTTAATAAATATAATATTTGTATCGTTCTAATTCAATTTGACTTGGGAAAAGTGTTTCAACACTATCATTCTTCTTCTCTGTGAATTATTAACTCTGTATTTGATATTCATTATTATGAAACATGAGTATAAGTTTTGAAGTATTTTGAATGGGATCGAATATAAGACTTCCCTCTGTATTGTCTATATTCTGAAAATCGAAAGGATTTAACATCTATATTACTTTGATTCAGGCTGCCTCGAGGGGAGATAGTCAATTTCGGGTATTACTCTGAAAGTATGAAAGCTAGAACTCTATTTTTGTCTAGTTTATTTCAACCCATACAGACTTCATAATGGATTTGTGAGTGAGTAATTGTAAACTTTTTCAGTAGATTGCCTTTGACTCTATCAAAGTAAGATTTAGTATGTGTTTTATTGATCATCTAGACAAGTTTGTTTAATTTATTCTGATTCGTGCTTGTTACATTCTTGATAACTAACTAGGTTGCTTACTTATGAGATTGTTTACTTTGGGGAGTTTCCCTTATTTATAAAGATTGACTGAGATATGGGATTTATGTCACGATTCTATAAAAAAAAAAAAATCTTCTTGAGGCTCTGTTACACGATTAAAACTTCGGATTCTGAAATATAAGTTAAAATGTCCTATTATATATGAGATGATTGGAATGATCATTTACTGTTGATTGATGTCTACTCCTTGACGGGTTCTGTGATGAGTAGGACTAATTGCATAATATCAAGTTCTGAGAATCATATTAATATCAATGGTTAAAGTATTGTGGGGTAATCATAGTTTTTAAGGTCTTTCAGCGACTCAAGTTTCCGTGAGGATGTTGTTTCCTCATCTTTTTCTGTAAGGGAAAATTTCGAAGTCGAAATTTTCTTAAGGAGAGAGAGTTGTCATATCCCAAATTGGGACTAAATTGAAAAGTTTGTGAGTTTTTGGAAGTTTAGGGACTTAGGAAATAATTTACCCAAAAGTTTAAGTTGGTTTAAAAACCAACACCTTTCTTCTCCACTCTTTTCCCCGTTCGTGAAAACCAGAAACGCTTTTCTCTCTATCTATTAATTTTAGTTTTTCTTCGATTCACCGGTACCATTGTGTTCATCTCGTCGACCCTGTTCGTCCGGTATTCTTGGATTTCTGTTCACCATCGTAGTTTGTTACCGGTGAAAATTCAATAGTCAGTTTTTGTAAAAAAAAAACGTTTTTCCATCAATCTTTTCGGGAAACCCCAAATCATTTATTATTAGAGACATATACAAAATTTTATATCGAATAAAAAAATTAAGGAAGGATTGGCCTGATCGTCCCTCTCGATCCGTCCCTATTCACTTGTCCCTTTCTTTCGCAACTTCGGAATGGAACCATCAACATAGATGGTGTTACATTGATGGCAGCTTTTCAAGGTTCCAGGCTTTTCACATGTGAAAGCCATGTTAGGTGTAAAAGGGGACCAAGGTGCCACGCTTAGTATAATATCTACATCAACATGCTCTTCATTTACACAATGTCTCACGCATTTCGTTTTCCATGTGTCAAGTACCAAGGCATTATTACGGCCCTAAAATAAGCAAATTGAAGATTCTTCTATAAGATCGCATGTGATGCTTCTATAAGATGTAACTGTTAAAGCAAACGGACTTGTCATCTTAAAGTAACTAAATGTGAG